ATAATATTACAGAAATCTCTGTCCATATTTGCACCCAACTATGGAGTGCTATAGCACTACCTCCACACAAACTTTTATCATCCTCTCCCAGCAGTTGTGACCCAGGTTCTGTTTTAGCCATGTTATCTCTCATTTCTTTTCAGTCAGTCATATTGCTGCCATACAGTGTTATTGTGCCCTATTTCCTTTTATTTCTCTTTCTTGAACAATTCATATCCTTCACTCCTGGTGTTCCAGTTATGATTGCTTATTTCACCATGTTTCTGTTATCCCTACAATATCTGGCTTCATATCATGCACAAGTGGTTCAAGTTCCTCCGTGTTGGCCAGGCTCCTGGCTTTTGTATGAAAACCTTTCAGTCATTTCTTACTAGCTGTATCCCTTTCCATAGCTGAATTGGGTAAACTGCTGCTGCCATGTGGCTTCCCCAGGGGCTGCCATTCTGGCATCCAATCTGGATTGCAACCCAAAGCTGGTGTGCAGCTCATCTCGCTCCAGTTACATACTGCTTATGGGCAGTAGTGTGCTCCTCAGGGACCCTGGATACCAGGTGCACTTGGAAATAGGCACGGGAGAGAGAGCATGTGTTTTGCTTAAAAGAAGTGGCAGACATTATTTGCCCTTTGGCTTCCAAATAGTTTTAATAAACACACATCTTTTTCAAGCACTGCTGCTTTTAGGTCTGCTCTCATGAAAAGTGTATGTCCTGCCCTGCAAATTCAAACCATCTAGGAAAGCGCTACCTGTGTGTGTGTGTGTGTGTTGGGGGGGGGTCCACAAAGGACCCATGGAAATCCTAAGTGTTTAGAGCAGAGTTTTGAAGGCAGAGTGTGTTGGAAGGTAAAAGAGCCAAAGCATAGAAGCCTTATTTCAAAGTCAATGAGGCATTAGTCTAGGAGGGGGGAACATCCTGTCTGATTAAGTAATGAGTAAAGGAAGCTGGAATGATCCGAGTCCTAAGAAGTCCTTTGAAAGTCCTACAGCAGAAGGCCACTAAGGAGTTGGTGAGGAGAGGACCTACTGGAGCCAGAATTAGCAGAATGGCCTGAGGCGGTCATGGAAAATCGATAGAAGATCCTGGTCAATGGATAACAGCACGTTGAATAGGTTAGTCTCAGACACGCTTTCCTATAAGAGCTGGTTGGCTTGGGAGCTTGGAGAAGCACGTGCACTTTGGGAGCTGAAGCATGGGCCAGATCTTGTTTACTGAAGGCACAGCATCACAGATGGTTAGGACTTGGTTGCCCAAGCTGATAACATAATGGTAGTCTTGTTGCAGAGGGCACACAGCTCTCCGTAGTTTCTGTGGAATGGAGAAGAATGGAAAGTCCAGACAGAAGAATTTAAAAGCTTCAATGTGCGTGGAGCCACCATGATTTAAGGACGTTTCTAGTGTTGCAGCAGGATATTTTGAGAGGAGCCAGTAACCTATTGGAACAAGGGAAGTCAGCCTGTAGTTAGAGAGAGACACAAACTGGGACTGTTAACACTAAGGTGTCTCAAAGTACAGACTTTAGGATAACCAACATGAATTTGAACAGGCATGTGTTTCCATAGAAGTGAACGTGTGTGAGAAGGCCACCAAAAACTGGCCTCTTCATGGCTGTAGAAAACATTTTTTTGGCTTTTAGTAAAGGTGTGGATTTGTTAGCTGATCTTGGTATTTGCTACTCTGAAGTATTTGCCAGGAGCAGTGTAAATATCAGGCATTTTTCAGCCCTTTGTCCATTGTTCATCTGCCTCCAGTGAACTTGTAGCAAATAAATTTTTGAAAAGGCTTTCTATCTTTGTATTAATATAGAGAAACTGCCTCATTCTCAGACTTGACTTTACTGTTTGTGAGCTTGGAGGAACCCCTGATCTCTCTCTTTGTGGGACTGCTCTTTATCAGCTGTCTCTAAATGCCAGTATACTATGGGTGAAAAAAGTGAGCAGGTTTACCATCCTAAATCAAGGATTTTGCTGTTACAGTTCTCCCTGGAGATAAGGTGGTTATGCACCCTCAGTCATGAGCTCATCAAAAAGTTACTGACTTTTAGACTCTGTGCCTCGTGTTCCTTCCAAAGCCATGTATGTTGTCTGTTGTGATCAGCGTGAAGCCTGTTAGTTAGCATGAAACCCTTTGGTTAGTTGCCTGGGTTATTTGCAGATTCAAAATGAGATTCATATATTCACAAGTCAAAAGAAAGAAAAGAACTGCATAAATACAGATGCTTTCAAAATGGATTAAATTTTGTATTCAGACTTGCATTCTCTCCTAGAGATTCAGAGCTCATTCTACTAGATTGGACAGCTTCTGTGGCATGCTTATGTAGGTTTGTCACAAATTTGTGAACTCCCCACTTGGAGTTCCATGTATACCTTTATGTAGCATGACACTTTGGCATATCACTTCATTGATTGTTTTGGGAGAGTTATGCAGTCTTCCTTTAATCTTTCAGCTGCCCTCAGGGGGTTGCAAGGTGTCACTGTTCATTTATCTCCCTGGATTGGGAGTCAGAGGTAATTCCTGACGGAAAGAAATTGTTTTCCAGGAACTGTTGTTTATAACTCTCCCTCTACACGTTACATTTATGTTGCGATTAACGTGTTAATCCTAGCATAAATGACAAGGGTGCAATTCATGATCCAATTTAAGGTGTCATAAAATGGCAAACCAGGTATAAAATTGATCTACCTGTAATGTAGAACAGTTTTGTGACCGGTTTGTATTGTGCCTTAAAATTGAACATGTGGCTGACCAACAGTCAGCTGATTGTCAACTTGGGCCAGAGACTGCACTGGAGTCTGGAACTGACCCAAGTATACCTGCTGGGCCAGTGATCAGCTGCTTTTCAGCCCTGGCCAGCTACAGGCATCTTGCTTTCAACCTGCAGAGTGGGAAGGGTCCCAAACTTTTCAAGTACATAAGGGTCCCAGGATCATAATCCCAGTTTCTCCCTGTACAGACAAGTAAGGCGTGATTTAGGATAATGATCCCCAATCCCAGAATTGTCTCCTGCCATGCATGTGTAACATGACAAGAGGTATGATTGTTGGAATTGGATCCCATGGCACATTTAAATGAGTGTATGCCAGAGGCCTTAGGTCTAATTATTCTTATGCATATCTGTCCTCTCTAGACTGCTTCCTTTTCTTGAGTCCTCCCATGGATTCTTTAAATTTGTGCAAGTAACTGGGCAGTGGGTGCTCTAGGGGTCACCATGGCTTGCATGTTCTGATCAGAGAGAGTGGGATAATCATGCCAGCACAGTAGTCGCTGTGAGCTGGCAGTTGAGTGCATGAGTGTTCTTTGGGTGTAGCTTTACACAGGCAGGGTATTGGAGTGCAGTTATTGGAAAATAAATTTGTTATCATTCTGCCTTGGCAGCAGATCACGTGTGTGTGTGTTGTTGGAGTTGCCGTAAGCCATTAATGTTGCCATGTAGCACTGCAAGTTACCCTCTTGTTTTAAACACTCTAATTATGTGGCTGCCCAATTCTTTTTCAGACTCCCAGGGTATGTCTACACGAGACGCGTTAATGCACATTAGCCTAATTTAATGCACATTAAAGCTACACGTCTCCATGTGCATGCCCTTAATGCACATTAAAAATGGCAAATTTAGGCATGATTAGTTAAAGCACATTAGTGCCAGGTCATGTGTACAAATGCATTAACTTTAGTACTGGGTCTGCCCAGCCACTAGGGGCACATGACAGGGCTGTAGGGACTTGGTACTAACTTTCATCCCAAGGGCACTAATTTCAGTCTCAAGTCCCAGCATGTGTAGAAACCTGCCAAAAATTGCTTAATGTGCATTGGCTTAATGCACATTACATTTGGTTGCGCTTATTTGCACATGTAGACACACACCTCCAGAGTACAGTTACTCGTGTTAGCAGCATTATGTAAATCGGTGATGGCTGCATACTTTGGCCTCTTCTGAAATGTATGCAAGGGTGTTGGTTTTCTGTTGGTGGAAGGAGCTGAGCCACATGGAAAAGGAAGCCCATGAAATGAAGCCATTTGCTTATTTCTTTTATTCCTTCCATCCCTCCCCTCAGCCAGTGCATGAACTACACCAGGACTTGGCAAGCTATTGCCCATGAGCTGGCTCTGGCCCATGGACCTGTGGCTTTTGTGGCATTGGGCAATGAGGGGGCTCTTTCTCCATCTCACTGCAATTAGTACTACACTGCAGCTGGGAGGCACCCAACTCTGGGAGGCAGGGAGAAGCCGTCATAACAGCTGGGTCCTAATCCCTGCCCAATTCAATCTCCAATTCAAGCTGTATCTTTCTAGCCCCTCCACACCAGCGTATGCTGGAAAATGTTGCGAACCCTGAATTTAACAGTAAGATGGCACTGGAAAGATGTTCCCATGTGTCTTCACTGGTTGGAAGAAAGACTGGACCAGGGTCAGTCATATTTGGTCTTTTTTTTTTTTTTTTAAATACAAAAAGGGGGAAAAAACATTTTACTTGTAACTGAAAATTACTCCAGCCATGGGTGGTATGGCAAGAAAAGGGACTCCTTAGAAGACCATAGTGGTATTTTGGCTAATTTGGCAGCATATGCATTTCACTGCGTACATTTTAATTAAGCGTAGTTTCTAGTAAAAAGCTTACACCCTTCTCTAATGGCCACTGCTTAAGTTTTAACATGCAAGTCTGTCATCTTCTTTTTCTTTTCTATGTGCTAACCAAGTCCTGCTCCCCAGCAGGTCTCTCAGGAAGCAAATGTTTGCATTGCGCAGATACTGAACAGCATGTTCTGTTGTTGATTTCAGCAGGGGGGAGAGAGTGTTGGCTTTTTTCACCCCGAGGGCCAGCCCCAGCGGCCTCAACAACCTCTAGAGCCAAAGGTGCAGCCAGTGCGGAAGGTCACATTGACAAAGGGAACACTCCATCCGCAGCAGCAGCAGCACCCGCAGCAGCAGCAGGTGTCACCAATACATTCAACAGTTCCTCAAGGAGTCAAAAACATCCAGGGAATTCATCAAGCTAAGAAGGTGATTGAAGATGTGTCACTGCTGCTAGATTTTTTTTTTTTAATCTGCCTGGCGTGTTGCTGTGTTAAGGCTGGATTTAAGAAAGAACTCAATTTTTTAATAGCACTGAAGAAATAAAAACATTTCAGTGCTTAAATAAATTACTAGTGAATGGCTGCATGACTCAGGGGGTTGATAATGGGGAGGCCCATTTGAATCCAGCCCAGACTGAACGTCTGAAAGTTGTTTCCATCGGATGGCTGTTCAGCGGCCTGTGTGAGTTGTTGGGTGATCTCAGTATGATATTTCATTGGAGAACAAATATCGTGGAAATTACTATTACAGATGATAGTACCAAGTATGCTTCCTGGCATTAAGGGCAAAAAGGCCAAATATTGTCCTGTTCAAAGCCTATGACTTATTCATAGGGCAGACTCTTCCTGCAGTCCCCTTTTCGCATTCTTTCTGCTCTCCTTTCTGCACACCTATCTGCTACAGTAAATGAGGTATGGATCTACTTATAACAGTGTTTTTTCTCACAACACTCAGGTTTATTCCCAGGGTAGAGCTATCCTATGACTTTAGTGGTGGGGGGGATGTGGAGGAGGGGCGGGGGGATGGTGAGTGACCATTTAATTACAAACTACCAGAATGTATATGCACACGCAACCTGAGGTGCATATGTTCCCTTTTAAAAAATGCCGTTATTTAGTTACCCTAAACCTCATTGAAACCCAGTGAGCCTTCAACTCCAAAATCACTTTAGGCACTTATAGAGAATTTTGTCCTAACATTTTTGCTTACTTTCCTCCATTTATGAAACAGGGATGATGCTCTTCTTGCCCATTTTCTTAAGAGAACAGTGGCTTTTAGGCTTCCATTAATGAGGGAAAAAATCAGGTTGGTTTCCCAAATAGATGCCGTTTGTCTGAATCTGCAGAGAAGAAATGGGAATGCTTGTTCTGAACGCTTATTTTGTGTTAAGTGTTTGCTCCTCTTAATTCCTTGGTTACATAATTGTAGATGGAGGCAAAAGTAACTCAAAGTTTAACAGAATAGAAACACAGCTGCTGCACTTGAGGGGGAGCTTGTTTTGCCAGGACCTACAGTGGTTTTGGAAACCCGAGTCTTTTAAAGATCATTGTTTTAAAGTTAATAGCTTTTTGCCTTTTGCACCTACAAATTGCTGGAGACTAGAGAGGGCCTGGAGTACTGTGCCATCTGCCTCCTGTAGTTGTTGATCAAGCATAGTTTGTTGTCTGAGAAGGTCAGGGTGGGCGCAGGGATTGTTTTTGTAACCCAGGCCAAAATGCTAGGGCCAATCAAATGCATGGTGGTTCAGTTGCATATTTTTTGGCACAAAGTGCTTGCTTGCTTTGTAGATCCACCCCAAATGCCAAGCCTGATTTTGTGATACCCGTTAGAGGCTGTTACAGGTTTTCAGAGAGGTTTGGCTAAGTTGAAGATAAATATGTTAACATGTGGCCTTTTAAATTGGCAACCAGCAACATGCTGCTTTTAATCAACATGTACTTTAATCAAGTCTTTAAGTAAATTGCAAACTTTCATATTATCTGTCAAATGCAGTTAACAAAGGCACCAAGTAAGTAAATCAAAACACTGTTACTTTGGTTGTTGGCAGGTCATTATGCACGGGAGAGGCAGAGGAGTAGCAGGCCAGATGGGCCGAGGACGCTTGATGCCAAATAAACAGAACCTGCGAGTGGTGGAGTGCAAACCTCAGCCCTGTATCGTGTCAGTTGAAGGGCTTTCTTCATCAACTACTGATGTCCAACTGAAAAACCTGCTGATGTCAGTAGGACCCATTCAGGTAGGTCAACCTTCGTTTATAATTTTTGTGCCAAAAGTCTTTCATTGCAGAAAACTCAATTAATTCTCTGACACTCAATGCAGTGTGTTGTTATTGGTAATTACTCAGATTTGAAGGCACTGTATCCAGTAGCAAAGACTAACATGATTAGGTTACAGTGCTGCAAGTACAGTAAAATTCCTGTAATTTTTGTACTCGTTTTCATAAACCTGGGCTCCTTCCCATTTCTGGGTGCTCTTATTAGCAAGTCACTGTTATTTGACTGTCAAATGTCATAAATGTAAGTGTGTGGTGTAGTATAATTAAAGACAGATTATCATGTCAGAACAAAGCATCTTCAATTATTCATTCTCCTTGATTTTTTTTTTTTTATTGTTGGATTGCATACTTGCTAATTCATAATGTTCAGAAATTCATGTCAGTGGTAGTATGAATTAGCAAATATTGTGCCTTTTATTTCTTAAGCTTTAAAAGTACTTTCAAAATGCTAGTTAAAAGGGTGTCGCAGTTTGAATTTTTAAAAACTACTTTATGATGTACATTTTTTAAATAGCATGGCCCTGCTTAAGTTTTTCCTGTTGTTGTTGTTGTGTAGGCAAAAATTAAATCTTTTCTTACTTTAAGGTTCTTTCAGGGGAGGGTTGTGAGTAAAATCTTAATAAACATGTTCCAGTTTATACCTTGTGTTTGGATTTGCTGTGTCCTAGCACTCAGCTAAACGTTTACGCAGAATTTTAGGCAAATGGAAGTTTTCAAAAGGACTTTAGGAGTCTGCATCTCGGTATTGGGCACTGGAGCGGCACTTGAAAATGTCTGCCAGGGTGTGTTCTAGTAGATTAAATAAACTAAACTAGTGGTGGGCAGGCTTTTGCTAAATGAGTGGCGCAGAGCTGGTCCGTGGGCTGAATCAAGCCCCATGTGCCAGAATGGGCCCACACTGCTTCTGCCTGCCCCTGGACAGCTTCAGTTGGCCCCTGCATGCCAGGATTGGGCCCTGGGACCCCATGCCACCCAGGGTTTTCCATGGTTCTGAACCTTTCTGAGTTGGATTTCTTGTGCATTCCATCTATGTCAAAGGGATGCTTTAGTCTCTCCACTTATTAAATACTGAATAACCTATATCGATAGCTATCCATAGGTTTTATTTTTGTTCATTAAAAGCTTTGATATTTGGTACTGTGTAATATTGTCTAAAAATACACTTCATGGCTTTTCCTTTCTTTGTAGACTCAGACCATTCACACACACACACAGTGCTTTATCTTTTCAGCTCCTGCAGTACTTTGTTTGAAATTATTTTCAAGCCTTTTACTGCGTGTAAAAACCTGCAGAAGGGGACAAAAGTAAGGATGGCATTAGTGGTAATAAGTATTTCATTCATATTCTAAATTTAGGTATGAGCCCAGCAGAGTGCCTGTTCTTGGCTGTGATAAATTGAAACCACTGTGCTGTGCTACCTGACTGCACACACAAATCAGGGGGAGGTATGGTCAGTGTTTTCTTGCTAAATCTTGCTTGAGAATATTAGTAAGAGATTAGCATAAGGCCTGCTAGAAGTATTCAGCATTAAGAAAAAAGTATTGTGGACATATCAGAAAAGATGAACAAGTTTTCTACTGTCTCAGAGTACTGAGCTGCTAATGTAGTGTCACAGTGCAGTCTTGACTAGAATGATGGAACTTGTTTCCATTTTTTAGTAGCACTTGATGCTATTTTTAAAGTATTTTTACACAAGATGTCCTAGGGCTTCCACTGTTAGCAGAACAGGTGCATCTGCACTATTGCTGCAGAAAGGGGAAGAGATTTGGTGTACACGCATCTTCTAGTAAGGACTGTGCGTTGTCCACTGCATCAGGAATCTAAAGGTTTGGTATTTAATAGGAGATGAAGTAGGTTAGGAATCAGCTGTACAAGTACTTATGCCAAGGCTACACTTCAGTTTACACTACTGGGGTCATTTGTAGCTGGAAAAACAGATCAGAAATGTCCCTGTGTAGCCAGGGCTACTTAAGAGATAAAAAGCACATGTAGGGAAGTTTGGAAGGATGCATGCTGAACATGAGCTGTCACATACAGCTCAGTACTTCTCATTTTCAAAGCAGTGCAGTAATATTAACTTATTTCCACAACACCTTGTTCCCTCATAGGAGAGGCTAGGTACTGCAGCTACAGAAAATGCTGAGAGCTTGGAATTCAAATGTATCAGTTGAAAGTGCCCTTTTTCCTAGTAATAGCTTGTAAACGTAGAGTAGCCTCTTGGTTTTGAACGAGAGGCTGGAAACCTAGAAGATAATTAGCCTGAGCTCATTTTCACATGGTTGTACTAGTGTCTGTGCTCACTGCTGTTTAAAACAAGCAGCAAGCTCTTGCACAGAGGTGTTTCAGTGCAAATGGGCATAGATGCAACTTATTGGGGGCAACACAAGAAAAATGAAGTGCTTAAGCATTTTCTTTTTTTTTCCTTGCTTCCTTGCTCTCTGTCCCTTTCCCCTAAGGTGTTTGCTCTGTGCTAATGGTTGTGGGCAGCACTGAAGTGGGCCACTAGGAAGGTTCCAAGTGAACAGAGGTGCAAGGAGGATTGGTGGTTATTTCATGCATCTCTAGGCAGCAATCAAAGGGTGTGAAAGGCAATAACAGGGCAGGGTTGAAGTGAAAGAAGAAACAAAATCCTTGTGGTGCAAGGCAGAGCAGCTTTTGAGGACCAGAGGGAACCCATAGAGCAGGGGTGAGCAATTACTTAGGGCAGAGGGCCGCTTACTGAGTTTTTGGCAAGCCATCGAGGGCCACATGACAGGTAGCCAAGGGCAGATGGATATTAATTTTCTAATTTTTTTTAGGGGCCCTATGGGCTGTGTGACAGAAAGCCACCTTGGTTTCTCCCCAAAAATCTCTGCCCTGTGACACTGTGATTTAAATCTCTGTGCTGTGACCATTCAATTAGGATGGGCCCAGCACACAGGGGACCACACCCTCAGCCTGTCTCTTTAGGGAACTTGAGCTGGCTGCATTCCTGAGGGAGGGGGGAAA